TCTTTATATATTCTAATAGAGATAATAATACCTTATAAAGCTTATAGTCTTTATTTACTTATTATATATATATAATAAATAGAGAATATCTATGTAGTAATATCTAAAGGTCTATTAAGATATAAATTAGATTTAATATAATAATAAGGCTATCCTTAATCTTGCTATTATAAAAATTATAATTTATTATAATATATTAGATTATTATATATTATAAGGTAATAAGGAAGTCTTTAATATATAAGTTATATATAAGAGCTAATTATTTAAACTTATCCTATTTAATAGCTAAAAAAGGTGTTCTTTAATATATAAATATATTAATTAATACTTCTTAATATATTTATAAGTTAAAGGCATTTTAAAGTATATCTTTATTTACTATAAGGTAAAAATATTAGGAGATTAAGCGCTAAGTGCCTAATATAGACTTAATAGATCTAGATATAATAAGATAATTATTTCTAATATAATTAATAATATTTACCTTATAATTATATTATTTATCTTAATATATAATATAAATATAAATAATTTTACCTTTAATCTTATATCTATATATATTTAAATAATCTTTTATAATATCTAAAATTAAGAAGAAATTTAATAATAATTTATTAATATCTAAGGAGTTTTTTATAATATTAATAATAAATAATATATTAGATAATATATTAATAATTAAAAGGCGAGATTTTAAACTTAATATTATAAATTAAGACCTAATATTAATAAGTTTTATATTAACTTAGTATTGATATATAAATATAAATATTAAATAAAAGATTAATATAAATTAAGGATTATTTCTTTTATCTAAGGAGCAATAAAAATTAATCTTTTATACTTATATTTAGTTTATTAATCTTATAGGTAGTAGGCTATTACCTAATACTAGGTATAATATAGTATTTATATTAATTATAAAGCTATTTGTAATAGTTATAATCCTTGCCCTTAACCTAAGCAAAGGTCTCTAAAGCTTAATATTTTAAAAGATTTTTTTAGTACTAGGGCTAGAAAATCATTTAACTATTTAAATAGTTTTAGGATACCCTTAAATAGTTAAATAATTTAATATATATAAACGTTTTAAATAGAACGAACGAACGAATAAACGAACGAAAGTGCCTATGTATGTCCTGATGTTGGCTGTTGTCCGACTGTGTCATGGGTGGGCGTGATTACCCACCGGACAGGGAGCCACAGATGTATTAGGCTATGCAGATATTCTATATAGCAATAAGCATCATGTCACAGCCGCAAGAACAAGTTGGGATTTGATATCGCTATGAAAACCCGGTAGTTTACGCCAGAGGCTGGGCACCGGGACCCCACATCTCCGGGCCCACATTTGGCATCTCAGAGTGACCCACTATTGACGATCGGCAGGCGATTATTAGAATCTCGGGTTCCTTATACAGTCCGGGCCCGCAATCGACAGATCCTCGTTCGTAACCGAACCGCCTCTACAACGTCAAACCCCCCCCCAACCGACCACCCATTTGTCTGATACGAGGGTAGTAAGTTAAGATAAATGATGATTTCAAGATCGAGAAGAACAGATTGTTGATTGATTTATCTCTCTTCTCGTCTTCGTCCTTCCTCGTCCTTATTATATTCGACGAGACGAGGCTGTGATACGAGACCTGCCGAACCTGCAACAGATCTATAACACCACTCTGACTCTTGTGGTGCACTCTTATGACAATCTGGGTAGAGGCATATGCAACACCATTTTCCACCTTTTAACACCATCACGCCACATATTAAGACCGCATTTTCTCGCGTAATAACGAAGCTATCGCCAATAGTGATATTATATAGTTTATACAACCTTATTATACATACATACATATAGGAAGAAAATATACATATATATACTATATACATACGACTAAGCCCACTATATTCCAAATCAGGTAATTTATAGGTTATACTATATAAGTACAGAGCTATATAAAACTATGCCGGGCTTAACAACTCAGCGTTACTCTGCTATTCTCTCCTAATTAAAGGCATCGCTAAAAAAGATAGCTCTTACTAAGGCTAACGCTGCCTTTATTTAGCGATAATTTATTGACCTCGGCTACTTAAACCCTAAGAAAAGTAAATAATATAAATACTATTATTACTAAAAGGATTTTATAGCGACCTCTATTAAGAGGCTAAAAGAGTATCTCACTATATATAAGAAATAATAAGTTAAAGTAGTAATAAAAGTATTAAGCTTAAGATAATATTAATTATCTTCCCTTATACTTTAAATATATATAAAAAAAGATAATTAAGGTTAGTATTTAATATATCTTATAAGATAAGAGTTATAATTTTACCTATAATACCGCCGTTATTATTATTGCTAGCGGCTACCCCTTTAGCCTCTTTAAGAGCTATTATTAGTATTATTTCTTTACTTATATTAAGCCTAGCTAAAAGCCTCTTAGCCGCGCTATTATTATAAGAATTCTCCCTAACTTCTATTAAGAACTCTATAATAAGGTTTTTAAGTATATAATTAGCTTAGAATAATTTAATATTATATTTAATAGCTTTAATAATATCTTAGGATATAAAATTATTAATATCTCGGTATAACGATTAAATAGCCTAGCTTTTTATTAGAAGACTCTTAATATAAGAGATATATAATATATAATAAAGAATTAAGTAGAGTTAATATAGAGAGAAATATAAAAACTATACAGTAATAATCTCTCTAGAATTAATTCTATCTATATTAATATTAAAAATATAATACGCTTTATATATAACTTACTAAAGGGATACCCCGAGCTCTTATATATTAACTTCTCTCTATGCGATTCTTATAGCTTTTAGCTTCTTATTAAAAATATCTTTTTTCTTTTATTCTTTAAGGATCTCTTAAATAATATTAATATCTTTTTTATATTCTTTTTATATTCTAAATTATAATCGTAAAGGTTAAGGATATATTAGTATATAAAGTAAAATAAAATAATTTACGCGCTAATTAGAAAATACTAATAAATTACTAGCTATTACTAAGAAATTATTATTAGTAATTTATATTAACTTATTTATTCTAAATAATATAATTATATACTAGGGCGCTTAGTATAATTCTTTCTTCTCTTTACTCTATTCTTAAGATATTATTAAAGACTAGTTTATTTAGAAAGATATATATAAAGAGCTATGATCTTAAGATTTCCCTATCTTCTTACCCGAAGCGGTTTAAATTATTAAAGATAATTAAAAGCTAATAGGGTCTACCTAGGCATATATATCTAGCTCCTCGTAAAGATGATATAAAACATATAGGTTTATATATAAGTAATATAAAATAAAGCTTAAGGTACGGGCATAAGTAAAGAGAGATATAACTAATATTTGTGCATATATGGGAAATAGGCCATAGTGGTCGCAGAATATACCTTACCTATAAGTAATTATTAAGGAGGCCCTATAGCTATACCCGGGCGTGGGCATGTAATTATTATATATTGTGCCAAAGGGTGGTTTTATATAAAACACCGGGCAAGCGTAGGGGCTAGATATAGGGGCTAGACTATACTAACGTTGCTATTAATCCGTATCTAAATTAAAATCGTCTGTCTTATGCCTCGAATCTTTTAACTCTGGATTATTTAGAGGATTAACTTAAGAGCGCCTCTTAATACCTACTAATCCGGTTAGTAGTAACCGCTATCGATTATCGCCGCGATAGCGTCTTTTTAGGGGTTTTTTAGACTTCTAAGCGGTTCCCACGAGGCTATCTAGCGCCACGGTATAGATTAGATCAGGGGTATTTATTGCTTCTTAATTAGTAGTGAGGTTAGGTATTTAGAGAGCTCTACTTTATTTCCCTTCGTGGTGCCTATAGGCAACGACACCGGAGTATCACTAAGGGAAGGCGTCAAAAATAGGTGTAATATCCCACTCGTAGCGTCATCGAATATCTTATTAGCCTGGCTGTGCGATGCGCCCCGTTACGTGCCGCATATACATCGCAGACCTCCCTATAATTGTCAACTAATTATATATTCAACAGTGCCAAGACCTCACGTTGAACTTTTTATCAGCTTTAAATTCACTACGAGCAATTCCTTTACACCTTCCTTTATAAGCTCTGCATGGGGGTCAGCTTTAATAAACTTTGAATAATCCCTAGTATGCTTTTTAGCACTTTTTTTATATACTTAGCTGTATCTACATAGGTAGAAAAGTCTTTAGGTCTATTTATCAGTACTGATCCAGCCTATAGCCTCACTAATCAATCACTCTACCATTAAATATATAGATATACGCTCTTTAGCACTTTCATAGATATTTTAACCACCTTAGCTATTAATAACACTTGGTTATATTAATCTCCTAATTGACATATTACCAGACGTGATATCAACTCTTTGCTCAGTATAACGCCCTGATCCTCTGCCAATATAAACCCAGCACGGCCGGTTTATCAGATTAGGAAACCCAACCGTTATACCAATAGCCTAGTCGCCCTAGAGGTACCTCAACACCCGCCGCATATCGATAGGTAAAACATGCATAGGAAGGTCAGTAACCTAGAAACAATATCTCAAACGCAGCAATTATCGACTATAGTACTATGTGTTCTTCTAGGAGAGATCTATTTCTCTCCTCGAGGAGCGCAATATACTCCGTCGCCCTATATAGAATGGCCTACCAAGTATTCAAGTCGGGAACGCGCCAAACTACCAGTTGGGGGTTATAGGGGCTGGCCAGTGAAAATGCGGGACGGGGTCCGGGGGTAGGACCGGATCGTCGACAGGGGTCCCAAACTACCACTGCTCCGAGGCGTCCACTTTTACAAATTGGTCTTGCCGGTGGAACGTTCGTCCGTATGACAGCGCAATGCGGGTCTTCCATTGCCGCTAAACCCACCCTGTCACAATGGTTGCTACGTAGTATAAAGCCCGCTCTTACGCCACAAAAACCAGGTTGATATGAGCTAACCACTGCTTGCATATACGGGATGCGCCTTGACGATGCGGCTTCAACTTCTAATCTTCCTTCTTGTTACGTTCAATCTGCACGTCGTAGCTCGCCGTGGTGGCGGCGATAGCGGCGGCGGCGGCGGCAGCCACGGCGGTTTCGGCGACGGTGATGGTGGTGATGATGATGGTGAAAGTGATCCGAGCCAGAGCGACTTTAACAGGACATGCCAAAGAAAAGCAGACTTTTCAAGTCCCTTGTGGCTACATCGATGGATTGGGACGTACTATAACGGAACCATTGTGAGATTTGCCAGCTCTCCTTTGTCTTGAACACCCTTCCATTCGTCCTTTTATCTTTTTTCTGACCTCGAATAGGACCTGTCCCTTACTGTTAATGCTTCCAATACCTCCTGCAGCGACCAATCCGCCAGAGTCCATCAAACGTACAACGGTGTCCTATCCATTATTTCGCCCGTATATATAGACATGACCAACAGCTTGGCACAGGGCTCGAGGCCGCTGAACCCGTTCATTGTTCTTATCTACGGATGGCCTACAAACACCACAGAAGCTGACTTCCTTGACTACCGCCCGGCTCCGAACCACATCCCCGACGATGTCAACATCTATCTCGAAACCCATTACGCTTTCAGAGAGTATGGCATAACCTACCCATCAAAGACAGGAATTGTGATGAATTCGCCGAGCTGTGACGTTGGTAACATCACCAGTACCAACTCAGGCTACGGGTTTACTTGCCAGTACGGCAACCTATTTGGCTTCGATGATGACCATAGCAGCTTCTTGGTCCCACTGAAAGCGTGCAATGACTCCGATCCCGGGGCCGCATACCCCTTCACAGCGTACAAGGACGATAACACCCTTCTCCGCGGAGAGTTCGGTCCCGAATCTGCCGATTTTAGCTGGGCTGGAGGCTTTCACGGCCGGTTTAGCGGGAGCGGCGAAGGTGTCCGGGACATATACTTTATCGACACTATCGATCACATCGGCAATTTTACCCTCCGATTCAAAGGGTCCGTGGATGCGGAACACAGTCATCAGATGGCTGTAAAGAATGGCGGGAATGTGTCATGGGTGGAAGATGAGGCTAAGCTGGAGGCGAATACTTTCTGTTCCGTGTCTGTAGCGTTGCGTGCCAAAATGTGGTTCATAGGAGCTATACTGTTTAGTTGGGGTATGCTAGGACTGACATGAATAGACTTTTGGGGCCAGGCACTAACCTAGGGAGATAAGTATTTAGCAACGGCAGGTATGGCGCCGTTTACCTCTCCCTCGATAAGCTCGCAATTGGCTCTCCGCTCTCAGACGTCACAACTAAGACTTGGTTCCCTACTCCCACAGCCTTTGAAACATCTTCTATCCAACCTCAACTATTATATATTAACTGACTCAAACTGGACGCTAAATATATAATACAATCACTAAGCATAGAATCCAAGCATATGATGTTTCGCTCGTAAATGCTTCCCGAGAACTTTGGGTACCCCGCTCGTACCCCACGCCAGGTATGGGGCGGGGTACAACACTGGAGGCTTCGCACAACTGAAGGGATAGTACGGTATAGTACTTACGCACCTGCTTATAACGATTATAGGGTTCCTAAGGGATAAACCGGTCATATTAATTTATATTAATAAAGGAGAATATTATATAACCTTAAAGGGTAATATAATATTATATTTAATAATATATTTAAGGTATTAAGTATAACTAAGTTATATTAATAATTAAAATAGCTATTATATAAGAAAATATATATAAATATATATTATATATTAAGCTAATTATAAAGGGATTATAATAATTTAATTTTAATAATAATCTTTTTTTAATTAATATTAATACCTAGGTATAAAATAATTATATATATTATAGAGATTAAATATATATTAAGTTATAATATAATATCTCTTTTTTTAAGGCTTTATTTATAAGGTTATTTAAGTAATTATTTTTTATTCCCTTATTTATAAATATAACTTAAATTTATAATTATTTTAGGATATTATATTAATAAAATATTTAATTATATTTTTAAATATTTAAATTATAAAATTAAGAAATATTAATTTTTAATTATAAATATTAAATTATTTTATAAATTTATAAATATATTATATTTATATTATTTTAAGTATTAAAAAAAGTATTTAATAATAAAAAGTTCTTTATAATATAATAAGTATATATAATAAGGTTATTCTTATAATAAGATATAAATTATAAATTCTTATAAGTCCTTAGTTTTTTTTTTTTAAGTATTTATTTTTATAGTTTTTATTAATATATAAGATAATATATTATTTAATTTTATAAAAAAAAGAAATAAAAAAAAATAAAAAAAAATTAATATTAATTTAATATAATTTTATAAAAAATTAATAGAATTATAAGTAAAAATAATATTAATTATAAATTATTTATTATAATTATAAAAAACTAAGAATTTAATTAAAAAGTATTAAGTTATTAAATTTTAATAAGAGATCTAAGGTCTTAAGGGTAAAGATTATTTAATAAAAAAATTAAATTATTATAAAGAATTTATAAATATATTTTATATATTTTTATTTTATTTTAAAAAAAATAAAAATATTATTAAAATAATATATAATAAATATATCTAGATATTTTTATAATATATTATTAATTATTTATTAAAATATAATAGATATATTAATAAGTCTAAAAGGTATAATAAGATACTTAAATAATTTATATTTAATATAAAAAATAATTTTTTATTTATATTTTTCTTTTATTTAAATAAAGTTATAGGCTCTTTTAAGGTTAAATATAATAAAATATTTTATTTTAAAAAATTAATATTTTAATTTATTAATAAAAAATAATAATAGTTATATAATCTTTAATTATAATAATATTAAGTATTTAAAAATTAATATAAAATTAAAGCTTTTTATTTTTTTTTAAAATAAATATAATAAAATATTTAATAAATAATTTTTTTTTTTTAATATATCTTTTTTTATTATATCTTTAATATATTCCTTTAATATTAAATAATATATTTTATTAAATAAATAAAATTTATTAAAGCTAGGTTATTTCTTATTAATAAATTTAATCTTAAGGTTATAAGATATATATTTTAATAGATTTATTTTAAGTTTTTTTATAAAGAATTATTCATAGATTTAATATTTTTATAATATATTCTTAAGTTATTTCTTTTTTAAGTTTTTTTTTTTTAATTTCTTAAGATT